GAGCAACAACAGCCTGACCCTTGTAAAGTTCCTATTATCTTTCCAATGATTTCATCATTTAATTAGGGATTGTAGACTAGTTCTGGCTTTTCTCCCACATTCATTACACGGAGTTTTTTTTTGTCAAGAAAGTCAGCCAGGGCTAGATGATTGTTTGAAACCCTGTGTGTTCAGGACCTCCAGGAATGCTGTTTTTCTGATCTTTCCAGTCTAAGGCATCCCCCCAAGGTCCACAGATGGGTTCTCTTTGAGTGGCATTTTGAGCTCAGAGCTGTGTATCTGGGGTGTTCTGGTCCATTGCTGTCATTCATTTTGATGCTTAGATGGTCCCATCCTCATCTAGCAGGAGCTCCTGTGTCTCTTGAGGCCCTCACACAACCTGTTTAGTTTTTCTTAGTCTGCTGGCATTTAGACCCAGATTGGCTGCTCCTCGAGGGAGTGAACCCTGGGGACTTCTGCCGGTAAAGTGGCATTTTGAGCGTGCTATGTGGGCGCTGCTCTGTTCATTGCTTTGGGCCTTTTAGTGAACAGAACTAAGAAAAAACATGTTTTTGAAATAACAGCAACAACAAAACCCCATAATTTTATACTAATATTTCTAATTCAAATTTAACCTTATATATAGGGTTTTTACTTCTTTCATTTTAAACATGTGTCTTTTCTGTTACTATGAATATCTTGGTTTCTAATATTATTAGCATACTTGCTTGCTTTACTTTGAAATCGTTTCAGAATAAACAGTTTATATTACCCCTGATAACAAAAGCTAGACTAAAATTTTAAGATTACCTTGAAGTTCTAATTGCCCTTAAAATGTATCCCTTTTATTGAGAATGTTTTGCTTTTTGTTTCAGTTTTTTAAAAAGCTTCTCAAAAGATTTCTTTTCCCTATATGACTCTGCCACCAACTTAATATTCAGCTCATTTGTTTTAGTTTATTTGGAATGTTTAGGAATTGTACCTTTTTCTTTTGATTTGCTATACTTTTCATTTTAGAAAAATATTTCAGGTTGGCTACAGTGACTCACACCTGTAATCCCAGCACTTTTGGAGGTTGAGGACTGAGCAAAAGACAAGCCTGGCCAACATGGCAAAACCGTGTCTCTACAAAAAATACAAAAAATTGGCCAGTCGCAGTGACTCACGCCTGTAATCCCAGCACTTTGGGAGGCCAAGGTGGGCGGATCAGAAGGTCAGGAGATCGAGACCATCCTGGCTAACTTGGTGAAACCCCTGTCTCTACTAAAAAATACAAAAAATTAGCTGGGCGTGGTGGCGGGCGCCTGTAGTCCCAGCTGCTTGGGAGGCTGAGACAGGAGAATAACTTGCACCTGGGAGGCGGAGCTTGCAGTGAGCTGAGATCCTGCCACTGCACTCCAGCCTGGGCCACAGAGTGAGACTCTGTCTCAAAAAAAAAAATTTAGCTGGGTGTGGTGGCGCTTGCATGTTGGTCCCAGCTGCTCAGGAGACTGAGGTGGGAAGGCTCACTTGAGCCCATGAGGTTGAAACGGCAGTGAGCTGTGATCGCACCACTGCACTGCACTCCAGCCTGGGCAACAGAGTGAGACCCCATCTCAAAATATATATATATATTTTTTTTTAGTCAGGAGAATAAAATTTGCTGAGTTGCCCCTGAACTCCTGGCGCAAGCAATCCTCCTACTTTACTTTATCCTTCCAAGTAGCTGGGATTACAGGATTGTGCCATTGTGCCTGGCTTTGATTTGCTTTTTTTGTTTGTTTTGAGACAGAGTTTTCGCTCTTGTTGCCCAGGCTGGAGTGCAGTGGTGTGATCTCGGCTCACTGCAACCTCTGCCTCCTGGATTCAAGCAATTCTCCTGCCTCAGCCTCCCAAGTAGCTGAGATTACAGGCATACGCCACCATGCCTGGCTAATTTTTTTTGTATTTTTAGTAGAGCTAGAGTTTCACCTTGTTGACCAGGCTAGTCTTGAACTCCTGTCCTCAGGTGATCCTCCTATCTTGGCCTCCAAAAGTACTGGGATTACAGGTGTGAGCCACCGTGCCTGACCTGATTTGGCTTTATTTTCTCAATAGTAAAAGATTTATGTGCTTCTGAAGTGAAAACTCATAACACCGTGGGTTTAGAGAGGGCACATTTCCAGCCCAGTTCCTGATACTTGCTGGTTTGTCGGTTTTCTATTTTGGTGTGTCTTTCCAGTGTTTCTCATGGCAGATTTAAGCAAATATGTGTGTTTGGGTTCCCTAGGTCTTATATAAAAGGTGTATGTCATGCAGTGTATGTGGCATGGAGCGTGTGTTTCTCTCCTTTCTTCTTCCTTGTGTTCACTCCACAATGTGTTGTGAGGCACTTGTGCAAGATTTCCACATGTCAAGCAAATGTGGAAATTCTATGAAGCTTTTAACTTTTTGAGGTGGGGTCTCACTCTGTCGCCCAAGCTGGAGTGTCATGGAGTGTTCACAGTTCATTGCAGCATTGATTTGATCTCTCAGGCTAATGCCTCAGCCTCCCACTCTGGGACCACTGGCATGTGCCACCGCACCAGGGTAATGTTTGTTTGTTTGCTTGTTTGTTTGTTTGTTTTGTAGAGATGGTGTCTTACTACGTTGCCCAGGCTGGTCTTAAACTCCTGGCCTCAAGGGACCCTCCTGCCTTGACTTTCCAAAATGTTGGAATAATAGATGTGAGCCTCCACGATTGGCCTCTATGGAGCTTTTTAACATTTCTATTTTCTTATCTGTAAACTGGATGTGTTAGTAATACCTGCCTCTGGGTGGTTGGGAGAAATCAAGGCGATAATGCATGTGAATTGTTAACTCTGGTGCCTGGCACCATAAAGTGCCAAGTGCTAGCTGTTACTGTCATGATGTTCATTGTTTATGGTTTGTAATACTCAGCCTCAGGTGCAACTGGACACTTACATTTTGATAGCCAGCAGGGGAGCTGGAGCAGATCGAGTGAAGATAAGGGAGGTTCCTGACTCTTTAGCCCTTTTTTCTGCAGCAGCTCTAGGGGAGTTGGTGTGCTTTGGAGCAGAAAGGGGCGTAGTAATCTGTCCATCTGGATGGGGTTGGGGGTGGATGGTGAGGAGTCAGGAGTGAAAGAACCCAGCCAGGGGGATCAGAGGCACAGTTTTGGATCCAGGCCTTTCTCTCCCGGAAAGGAGCTGTTGTGGCTGACCTATTGCGTTCGCCCCTGGATATTCCTAGATAAACCCGTGTTTGGGGGAATGTGGGAAATATCATCGCCCACAAGAAAGCTCCTTGGCTGGCAGTGTGACAGCTTCCTGTGCTTGTTTCTCACATCAGGCATCCCCTCCCTCCGCACTCGCCACTAAGCCTCCTCATGCTGGTCTGGTAGTGGAACTGGAGCAGGTTGCAGTGGCTGCCCCCTGCTGTGGGTCAGGAGTGGTGCTGGGCTCTGCAGAGTGACGATGCCTGCCCCCTGCATTCCAGGGGCTGGGCTGGCAGTGGGTCTTGCTCAGCCCTGGATTTATGCAGAAGGGCTTTGGGGACATGGTCCTGAGCCTTGTTTAAGTGTCTTATGTCTAAGTAGAAGTATCTTGTTGCTTTTGAAACCTACTTCCCCTTGTTTTACCGTTTATGGATGTGGAGAAAACAAATTCATTTGAAGTATTGCAGACTTAAGAAATAGTCCAGGGCCTTAGGAGCTGTGAGATGTCGACCTGGCTGGCCCCGAGGCCCTTCTCCCCTCATACCTGGCCACCTCGCTTCTGTTCCTGAGTGTCCTCAGGTTCCCACACCTCCATTGCCCCCATTCTCATACCACTGTCCTTCAGGGACTGACTGCCTGCGGGCCACATTCACATGCACATCAGCTTTCCTGTCAGGAATAATGGGGACAGCCGGAACCTCCTTGGTGCCCCCTTGTTCTGGCCAGGCCTCGCTGCTTATCCCAGCTTCTCCTCTCTCCTGGGCCTTTCCTCTTCATGTTGTCCTGTGCTAATTTCCCCGAGCCGAAAAAAAGAAATAGGGTAGAGTTTGGAAATAGAGGTGAGATGATAAAGATTTCGGAAGTGTCTTTATATTTTTACCCTCATCTGAGACCACTTTTCATCATCCTTCCCTCTGCCCTGCCATCTTATGAGTGTAGTGGATGAACTCTTAGTGTCACAGTGACTCAGGAGGAAGGTTGGGTGAGCAGGGCAGGGAGCCGGGGCTTTGCCCCTTCCAGGCTTCCCTGCCAGAAGGATGGGCACTTCAGCAGAGGGCAAGGATGCTTCTCTGAAATAAGACTTTACCTCAGACATCCCTGTATTGACCACAAGACCAACTCACAGCAGTGATTTCCCTGAAACACCTGCGAGTGAGTGTCCTTGGGGCCAAAGAGGACAATGGGTGGGAGGCAGGCCCTGCCAGGCAATCCCAGAAACACAGCAGCCTGCACATAGCGGGCCTTAGCAGCCAACAGCCTTCACCTCACCTGAGAGTGGGCTTCACCCTCTCCCTTGCCCTTGCATAAATGCAGATGAACACAGATTCTCCCGGAAAGCACAGCCAAGGGAGTGCCATCCAGATTTGCAGCAGGTACTGCGTCATCAGTGAAAAGGCAGCAACAGGCTGGGCTGAGAAACGAAAGCCCTTCAGTACACATAGTGCAAAGACACAGCGGCCCACCCACGGCTGCCTCTGACAGGCCTTGTGCCCTCAGGCTAGTGCCTCATCCCCCCAACCTGCCTGTCCCCTTTGTGACAAAAAGACGGCACTCAAGATGGCTCACAGCTCTCTCAGCTGAGTGCCTTTCCATCAGGGGAGAGGAGTGGCTTGGAGGCTCTCTGTCCCCTTCTTGTTTCTTTGTGCCTGTTATTGGCCCGCCTAGCTAAGCGCTGACGGCTCCCTTCCGAGAGGCGGATTCCAGAAGAGGCCGAGTGTCTGAGTCTGCCTTGCAGAATGGGCTTCGGGCTTCAGCTCGGCGCCAGCAGGCGAGGGGGCGGGAAGGGGGAGTCCGATGACTGCACTTCTTCATTTGGGATTAAACTGCTTCCTGTTTTTACTTTTAGGACGAATACCTTTCTCTCGTGGCCAGGCTCATTATCCATTTTCGAGACATTCGTAAGTAAGATTTCACATTTCTGGGTTGTTGAGATCTCTGTGAGAGGCCAGCCCTGACGCTGCCTCAGCAGAGCTTTCTGGGCAGGCCGTGGTGCCTGAGTCAGAAGGTCTGTGTCACCTCACTTCCTTTTGGGAAGTTCTTCACTGCCTTGCATTTGATTCCAGATCCCCCATCCTCCCAGAGCCTTGGCCTCAAAAATGCTGATTCTAGCATCATGGAAATGCTGTCCTCAAAGTGGTCTAAACGGGGTTGCTGTTTCACTGCTCACTTAATCTCCCTTTTCCTAGGGCTGTTGTTTTTACTTCTGGGAAGTTCTGTTTACCCTGGAACAGAAACTCTTCTTCCCTAAAAGTTGATTTTATTGACCCCTGGAGGCCAGAGACACTTAGGCATATGTTCCCTCCAGACTGGAAACTTCTGAGGAGGACCTCCTGAGTCTGCACCCTGGCTCCCTGCTGTGTTGAGGGCCCCCGTGTTTACCTCACGTTGTGCCTCCTCTGATTCAGAGGGCCCAGTGTGGTTCTATCAACCAGGCAGTGGCCCCAGCTCTGCAGAAGTGAGTTGTCATTACATCCTAGGGCCCGGGTCTTGGTGCTTGTGTGTGTTACTTGGAAGTATGTGGACACCAAGTGTTCCTGGATGGCCACAGCCTGTGAAGGAAACTGGGGCCAGCAGCTGCTCTGTGTTTTCAGCCAACGATGGCTCCTGCCCACTGCCGCTGCGTAACCACCAGAGGCAGGCTTCTCTTGACATAGGCCTGTCCTTGGAGCACGTGTTTGGCGAGTCCTATTGCTATTCCCCTGTGGGTTAGGGACAGGCAGCTGTACCTTCAGTGTCTGTTGTTAGGGCAAAGGGAGACACTGAGCACCCCAGAGCCTGGTAGGTTTTGCTTCTTTCCATACTAACTTTTTACCAGAATGGCCAGCAAGGTGAACTTCACTTTCTCTGTGGTGTTGGGAAGGTGCCGGGATGTGTAAGAGGAGAAGGAATAGCCCAGATGATCTGGCCCAGATGCGCTAGCAGACTCCCCATGTTCTGCTTTCAGGGACAGTGTCCCACCTGGTGCACACAGTCCTGTGGGGCTTATGGGGTCATGGGGAGCAGCCAAGCAGGAGGCTCAGGGCCCCATGGCTGCTACAGAAGTTCTCCACTGGGCACTGGGGTCAGCTGGACTGGCTTCCAGCTGGCCGTGGACAGCCTCAGTTTCCTCATCTAGGTAACAGAGACACTGCCTCACCAGAGCAGACTGCAAAGGGAGGCAGTGTCAAGTCTCAGCACCACTCCAGCCCTGCTGTGGGTTCCTGTAGTGTTCTTGTTACTTGTTTTCTTAGGGCTGAGCTGAGACTCTGGACCTGGAAAAAAGGAAAGCCAGAGTAGGCCCAGAGTCCCCAACCCCAGAGTGCTTCAGCATTGGGGGCAGCTCCCTAAGGCCCCAAGTTGACCCTGGAGCTACTCTGCACCCTCTGCTCCCAGGTCCCTTGTGGGGTCAGCGCTGCCAAGAGTGGAAACACTTCCCCTGGTAGCGGGCAGTACTAGGAGCTCCGTGGGGATTGAGGCTTGGGCAAATGCCTACAGAACTGACCTACCCATGGAAATATGTGGTTATATAAAACTTTGTTTACTTTGGTTTTTTTCGTTTGTGTTTTCATATAGATAACAAGAAATCTCAAGCTTCCGTCAGTGGTAAGAGTTTTCCCTTTTGAGTTAAAGTTTCTCCCAACTTTGGATTTGAGGTGACAAGAATGACATAGTGCATGCCTCATGTGCCTGGGTTAACCTGTCAGTAGAGGAGAATACTTGCGGAGAGAGCTGTGGAGGGAGGAGGCTGACCAGCTGTGCCCCGACCTCTCCAGCCTTCGTCTTCCTGCAGACTGTGAAGTCACATGATCCTCCCCATCCCGTTTCATACAAATGCTGCCTTTGCCCAGCAAAAAGATAAACACTCACAAAGCTATTAAGACATTATCCAAAAGTGTTGAGCTCTCTTGTAGAGAATTATTATGCTGTTTTCAGTGTAATAATATGTAGCAGCATTTCTGAGAAAATGCTGTGAATTCACTTTTTTAAGTTACAAAGTTTCTTTGTAAATTTAGAAATCTGGCTGGGTGCTGTGGCTCATGCCTGTAATCCCAACACTTTGGGAGGCTGAGGCAGGCAGATCACTTGAGGTCAGGAGTTCGAGACCAGCCTGGCCAACATGGTAAAACTCCGTCTCTATTAAAAATACAAAAATTAGCCGGGTGTGGTGGCACGCATTGTAGTCCCAACTACTCGGGAGGCTGAGGCATGAGAATCGCTTGAACCTGGGAGGCGGAGGTTGTAGTGAGCTGAGATTGTACCACTGCGCTCCAACCTGGGTGACAGAGTGAGACTCCATCTCAAAAAAAAAAAAAAAGTTTAGAAATCCATATTTTTAAATTTCAGGGTTTATCACATAAGGGGAATTCTGTCAACTCAGCCTTGGTCTCTGCTGACTAAGCTATGAGGGAAGGGGTTTAACAGATCCAGGCTGGCCAACTGCATTCTGCCATTGGGAAGGGAGTGCACTGGCCTCACAGGCTGCACACCACTGTCTGCCCTGCCCTAGACAGTAGAGCTGTACATGCCAGCTGTCTCTGCCCGTGTGGGTCTCACCTCTTAGCCAGGACAGGGATTCTTGGCCAGCTGGGCTGAGCAGCAGCAAGGGCATGTGGCCAGAACATCTGGGCCCCTTGGCATTGGAGCATGGGGTCCTGAGCACCACCCAGTTGTGTGACATGGTGGTCCTGCCAGGCCATATCTGTCTGTGGGTAGCTGTTTGCTATTAAGTCCACACTGTTGTGACAACGGCATCCTTGTCCTTTGTTGTGGCATTGCTCACTGAGCTGCTGACCTGGTGGGCTTGGCACATTTCTCCTCGGTGCTCTGTGGAGCCCTCCTCTGCACCCCTCAGCTGTTCTGGCATGGTGGCCCTGCACACAGGGGCCCAGGCTGAGTTGGACTGTGCAACAGTAGGAGTGGAGCTCTGTGTGCCTGTGGACTTGTGCCCTCCCTGGGAGAGCATCCCCTGGCCACTGTGTTTCTGCTTGCTCGGAAGGGCCCATCGTGCTTTGTGTGCTCACCCAGCAGGAGGGCTGGACAGCCAGGAGAGGTGGGGGTAGCCGCCTGCCCTCAAGGCCTCAGCCCATCTTTAGTGCACCTGCAGACATCAGAGAGGTCATTTGTCCCTTAACATTAGGACCCTGGACCAGGCCAGGCTAGAGGTATGGGTCGTGCAATGACCAACACACCTGGCATCCTACCCACTCATATTTGGGAGTCTCCAGGAGCCTAGTCTCTTACTGCTTGGGGCTGTGAGGGGATTGAGCCTGTAGGTAGGAGAGATCTATGCTCTGTGAGCCTCACGCCATTTGAGCCATGGTCAGTCCGTTAGTCCCTTTCCTGAGAAGCTCTGCCCTTGTGTTCCCACAGATCCTATGAATGCACTCCAGAGCCTGACTGGCGGACCCGCCGCGGGAGCCGCCGGAATTGGCATGCCTCCTCGGGGCCCGGGACAGTCTCTGGGCGGGATGGGTAGCCTTGGTGCCATGGGACAGCCAATGTCCCTCTCAGGGCAGCCGCCTCCTGGGACCTCGGGGATGGCCCCTCACAGCATGGCTGTCGTGTCTACGGCAACTCCACAGAGTGAGTACCACGCTTCCTGGAGGATTTGCCACTTTCCTTGCAAACGATAACACATTTTATTCCTGTGCTTATGATGGTATCAAGAAAAGCATGGAGAAGCTCCAAATCGCCTTTTTTTTTTTTTTTTTTTTTTTAATCTTTGTTGTATGTAGCTTCCAATCTTCTTTGAGCTCCCAGAAGGGTTAAGTGATCCTGGGCCCTCCTCCTAGCCCTGGGCAGGAGGGTGGGGATGGCCGGAGACTCCAGCCAAAGGTTTGTGTTTAGTGGCTGAGATAGATACAGTGTGTTTCAGGGGGTTCTCAGCCACGAGGCAGGGCTGAGTGCCAGCACCCACAACTCCACTGTCTGCCCGAGCTCTGGGCACCATCTCTTCTAGTGGTGCCCTTGCCACTTGGTCACCCTGGGTGTGGCTTGCAGCCGTATTATCTTCTGACTTCCTTTCTGTGAAGGAGACTCTATGTCCTCTCCACACGGCTGCCCTGGTGGGGAACTGGGCTGTGATCAGGTGTTACAGGTGAACCAAAGCTGCTCTCAAGGGGAGGTAAAGAACCTCCCTCTTCTTTCCAGGACTGTCTTTTGAGATGGGGTCTTGCTCTGTGGGCCACGCTGGAGTGCAGTGGCACAATCACGGCTCACTGCAGCCTCGACATCCTGGGCTCAGGTGACCCTCACACCACAGCCTCCCAATTAGCTGGGACTACAGGCTCACAGCACCGCGCCCGGCTAATATTTTGTATTTTATGTGGAGATGGGACTTCACCATGTTGCCCAGGCTTGTCTTGAACTCCTGGGCTCAAGTGATCGCCCACCTTGGCCTCCCAAAGTGTTGGGATTACAGGCGTGAACCACCACGCCCACCCTCAGGACCTATGTTGATGTATCTTCGAGTCCCATCAACATTTCTTGTAGTGTGCTGTGCCCACTGCAAAGTCCTTTAGTGTTTTTTTCCCTTTCATATAACTTTTTATTTTTAAAATAGTTTAGGAGTCACAGGAAGTTGTAGAATAGCACAGAGAGTTCCCACATGCCCTCTACCCAGCTCTCCCCAGTAACAATATCTTACACAGAACATGGTGAAAACCAAGAAATTAATGTTGAGGCAGTGTAATCACCTCAATTAGAGACTTAACTTGGACTTCATTTTTTTTTTTTTTTTATTTTGAGACAGAGTTTCACTCTTGTTGCCCAGGCTAGAGTGAAGTGGCGTGATCTCAGCTCACTGCAACTTCTGCCTCCTGGGTTCAAGCAATTCTCTTGCCTCAACCTCCTGACTACCTGGGACTACCAGTGCCTGCCACCATGCCCAGCTAATTTTGTATTTTTAGTAGAGATGAGGTTTCACCATGTTGGCCAGGCTGGTCTCAAACTGCTGACCTCAAGTGATCCTCCCTCCTGAGCCTCCCAAAGTGCTGGGATTACAGGCGTGAGCCATCATGCCCAGCCAACTTCATCAGTTTTTTACACTCATTCTTGGGCTGCATATATGTGTATGTGTAGGTCTGTGACATTTTACCACATGTCAAATCAAGTAGCCATCACCACAATTGGCATGCAGAGCCGTTCCATTACCACCAACCAGCTCTCTTGTGTTATCTTTCAGAGATCACACCCTCCCTCCAGCCCTAAGCCCTGACAATTGCTGATCTGTCGTGTGTCTCTGTAGTTCTGTCCTTTTGTGAATGTTGTATAAATGGAATCATACCATATGTGACTTTTTGAGATTGGCTTTTTAAATTCAGTCTGAGATCTTTGAGATCCACCCAGGTTTTATCAGTAATTCATTCCTTTTCATCACTAAGTAATATTCCATGGAACGGATTTTCCACAGTTTATTCATTCACCCATGAAGGACATTGGGTTGTTTCCTGCTTTTGGCTACTATTATGCAAACAAAGCTGCTGTGGATATCTGTGTACAGGCTTTGGTGCTTCAGTATATTTTTATCACACATCCCTCATGATAACCCTATGAAGAGGGCAGCATCACCCCCTCTGCTTTGTCCAGCTGCCAATGAGAGCTGGAGTCACACCCCAGGCCAAGAGCCGGGATCAAAGCTGCTGCCTGACACCATCCTCATGCTCCTACCCCATCCTGTGTCAGGTTTCCTATTCTTTGAGGCCATAGGCATGCTCGTTTCTACCCACTCCTGCTCTGGAGTCTTCCTCCATCCCGAGCCACCTTCCCTTCTCATACCTTAATTCTCCTCTTACTTCGTGTCGTCTAACTCTCAGTACATGCTGGTTTCCTCGTCCTAGAACAATCTGCTTGGTTCTTCGTCCCAAGCTCTCATCACCTCACTCTTCTTAGCACATCAGATACGTACGCCAGCTGGGTTTAGGGAGGACCCACAGAAGTACTGGCTCAAGTTCCTTGTCATGTTCTACTCTTGTGTACTGGGTGCATTTTTTTTTTTTTATCATGAGCTTATATTTGATAATAAATTGTTTTTAAATGTATTTGAGTTTAGAATGCTCACGTGAGTTGCCTTGTCATCCCACTCCAGAGACTTTGTCTTAAACCAGTTTTGTCAGAAGTTCAGTGGTGAAGCTTGATATCCTGCCCTTGCCCTCCCCAGTATGACCTTGGCCCACATCCTGTTTTTAGCTTCCAAGGGGCCTGGTCTTCTGTGTGTGGCACTAGTTGAAAGTTACAGTGGGGGCCAGGCACGGTGACTCATGCCTGTAATCCCAACACTGGGAGGCCAAGGTGGGCGGATCGCGAGGTCAGGAGATCAAGACCATCCTGGCTAACATGGTGAGACCCCATATCTACTAAAAATACAAAAAATCATCCGGGCATGGTGGCGGGCGCCTGTAGTCCCAGATACTCGGGAGAGTGAGGCAGGAGAATGGCGTGAACCTGGGAGGCGGAGCTTGCAGTGAGCCGAGATCGCACCACTACACTCCAGCCTGGGCAACAGAGGGAAACTCCATCTCAAACGAAAAAAAAAAAAGTTACAGTAGATTCTGTACTTCAGGATCTTGTTACCACCTTTGTCAGAGACCATATCTCCCTGCCCTTTACCACTTGCCTCCCTGGTCTCCCTGAAACTAGTGGTGTTGCCTGATGGGCATTTAATATCCCTTCCTGATACCTTTCCCAAAGACTACTGCATGATTAAGGCCCTTTCAGATCTTCATCTGGTGCCACCAAGAGGGCAGAGCCTGGGGCAGAGGTTTTGCCAGGGACTCTCAAAGGGTAGGCCAGGGGACATTGTGGTAGTTTTCAGGTGACCCAGGTTAGTCTGAAAAGGCTGAAACTGCTGGTTGTTCCTATGGCTGGGGCTGCAGTACAGAGTTGGAAGCAAAGCTTTTCACGCTGTGCATTTCTGTTTCTCAATGAGTTTTATATCACGTGCATGTGAAGCTGACTTTAAAAATAATTTCTGCTGCCAGCTGTGTGACGGACTGGGTGCTGAGGACATGTCCTCCTCCTGGATAACTAGGTCCTGGTTAGGGTGCACTTTGGATTGCTGGCCTGCAGCAGTTGGGGAGGCTTTGTCCTCCTGAGCCTCGGCTGCTGCAGGGTGGGGGAAAGTAAGCTTGGGATTCCTCTAGTCAGCCAGGGTTTGTGCTGGGTCCTGTGGTCACCCCCCAGGTCCCCCAGAAGCAGGTGCAGATTGGAGGAACATGTCCCCAGTGTAAGACCTGTGACAGTTGTTCATTAAGGTCAAGCAATCAGCATACAGAGATCACCAGCCATGAAGGGAAGGAGAGACACCATGAAGGCGAACAGAAATAATAGACACATGTAGGCATGCCCAGTGACCACACATTCAGGAACTGTTAGATATGGGCCATGGGGTGTATAAAGAAATAAAGTCGAGAGCCGGGCACAGTGGCACATAACTACACTCCTGGCTACTCGGAAGGCTAAGGCAGGAGGATTTGCTTGAGGCCAGGAGTTTGAGGCTATGGTGAACTATGATTTCACTACTGTACTCCAGCCTGAGGGATAGAGCGAGACACCATCTCTGAAAAAATAGAAAACAAAAAAGAAAAGAAAAAGCAGAAATTCAAATGAAAAAGCATCATCAGGAGCGATGAAGCAGATTTGAAATGGAACCAAATGAAAGCTGTAGAAATTAGCAGTATAATTTTTGAACAAAGGAAGTGGATGGATAAACAGCACATTAGATACAGCTGAAGAAAGAATTTGTGTAATAGAAGCTACATTTGAAGAAATTACCTAGAATGTAGCACAGAGAAGAGCACATGGAAAATATGAAAGCAAGGGTAAGAAATGAGGATAAGATCAGAAATTTGAATTGGCATCCAAGCAAAGCCCCAAAAGGATCAAATGGAGAGAATGGAAGAAAACAATATGTGAGGGGATAACTACTGAGAAAAGCCCATCTGGCCCCAACCTAGTTAGCCATCTCATTTGATGTGAGACTGCAGAGCACCAAAGGCCAGAGGAATATCTTAGAAATAGTCAGTTCCTGCAAAGGAGCAAGGAGTACACTCAGCAGTGGAGTCAGAAAGATAATAGAATATTGTTAAAGCACTGAGAATAGAGCTGCCAGTCACATTTGTATGCCAGCAAGACTCAAGGATGTGGAAAGCAAGCCATTTTTAGATAAACCTAGCCTTAGAAACTTTCAGTAAAAGATTTTCTAAAGGATATATCCTTTTTTCTCCTTTTTCCAATAAGCCTTTTGCACTCTTAGATATATTCTTTTGTTTATCCTCTCCTCTTCCCTCTCAGGTGATGCAAGGTATAAAATGGGAAAAGAAACGTTGAGCATAGGTGATAGTAAATGTGTGTAAATCTAAACCAGTGATTCTCACCCTGGGTGATGTTCCACCACAGGGGATATTTGACAATGTCCAGAGACATTTTGGGATGTCACTACTGTGGGGGTGCTGCTGGTGCATAATGAGTGGAAGTCAGAGATGCTGCTAACCATCTTACAGATACGGGCCAGCACCCCACAACATAGAATCATCTGGGTCAAGTGTCAGTAGTGTAGCGAAAAGGTTGAAAATCCCTGGTGTAAATAAAAATTTACCTCTGTAAAATAAAACAGTCAAGCTAACTTCCATACAGACTTGCCACATTCCACACACTATTTTATTTATTTTATTTTTTTGTTATTTTTTTTTGAGATGGAATCTCACTCTGTCACCATACTGGAGTGCAATGGCACAATCTCAGCCCACTGCAACCTCCACTTCCTAGGTTCAAGCAATTCTTCTGCCTCAGCCTCCCAATTAGCTGGGACAACAGGCTCGCGCCACCACACCCAGCTAATTTTTGTATTTTTAGTAGAGACAGGGTTTCACCATGTTGGCCAGTTGGTCTCGATCTCCTGACCTCATGATCTGCCCACCTTGGCATCCCAAAGTGCTGGGATTACAGGCGTGAGCCACCGTGCCCGGCCTATTATTATTATTATTTATAGACCTAGGGTCTCCTCATGTTGCCCAGGCTGGTCTTGAATTTCTGGGCTCAGGCGATCTGCTGCCTCGGCTGTGCAAAGTGCTGAGATTATGGGCATGAGCCACAGCACCCAACCCCAGGCACTATTTTGAGTGTTTTACTTACATAATAGATTATTTAATTCTTAGTCCAGTGTGTGGAGTGGATACTATTATTGTGTTTTCTAACAGGGAAAACTGAGGCAATGAGCAGTGACAGAGTTGAGGTTTTGAGTCCAGGCAGCCTCGCTCAGAGGCTGTATCCCTAGCCTCACATCCATCCAGCCTCTTAATAGAATGTCTGCTGTGAAGAGTTAAGATCAACAAAATATGATATAAATGAAAGTCAGCAGGGAGATAGAGTGTGAATATCGGTTCTGTCATGTACATATAAAACCTACTTTAAAAAGTAGTAAATTTGGGAAATGCTAAAATATTGATAAGGTTTATATTTTAAGTTAAATATGCATGATAAAATTGAAAACTTACTGCTAAAACAATGGAAATAATTCATAAAATTTAAAATCAGTAGAAAAAATAGGATAAGGCAGAAATCCAGATAATACAAAGTTCAGTCCAGTCATCTAGCAAAAATGCAATCAAAAAATGCAAAGCTTAGAAAAGGAAAGACAAAGGCCTGGTGCGGTGACTCACACCTGTAATCCCAGCACTTTAGGAAACTGAGGCAGGCAGATCACGAAGTCAGGAGATTGAGACGATCCTGGCCAACATGGTGAAAACCTGTCTCTCCTAAAAATACGAAAAATTAGCTGGACATGGTGGTGCATGCCTGTAATCCCAGCTACTTGGGAGGCTGAGGCAGGAGAATCGCTAGAACCCAGGAGGCCGAGGTCGCAGTGAACCGAGATCACACCACTGCACTCCAGTCTGGAGACAGAATGAGACTCCATCTCAAAAAAAAAAAAAAAAAGAGAAAAGAAAAGACAAATATTAATAGAAATAAGTTTAAAAATATAAGTAATCATAATAAATGTGAGTGGACTAAACTTTTCTGCTGAAAGATAGGAAATGTGAGAACAAATGGAAATGAAACAGCACAGTTGTTTTATTGTTAGAAGAAACACACACCTACAATATAACATGTGAAAGGATTGTAAGTAAAACACTCAAAATTTTATTTTTAAATAAAAGATGAAGAAAGGCCGAGTGCAGTGGCTCACATCTGTAATCCCAACACTTTGGGAAGCTGAGGTGGGAGGATCACTTGAGCCCAGGAGTTCAAGACCAACCTCGGCAAAATAGGAGACCCATTTCTACATAAAATTTAAAAATTACCTGTAGGTACACTTGAGATGCTGAGGTAAGAGGATCGCTTGACCCTGGGCGGTCAAGGCTGCAGTGAGCCATGACTGCACTATTGCACTCCAGCCTGAGCTGCAGTGAGACCCTATCTCAATCAGTCAGTCAATAAAATTGGCTGGGTGTGGTGGTACACACCTGTAGTCCCATCTACTTGTGAGGCTGAGGTGGGAGGATGACTTGCTTGAGCCCAGAACGCCGAGGCTGCAATGAGCCATGATGGAGACACTGCATTCCAGCCTGGATGACAGAGCGAAATCAAAAAAGAAGCAAACAAACAAACAAAAAGATGAAGAAAGATGTATTAGGTAATTACTTCAATTACATCTCTTTGTTATTGATAAACAGACCAAAAATTCATTTACAGAAAATTTGAACAATGTAATGAACAACTTAATATAAGCATATGATGGAACAATATGTTTCTAAAAATCATAAAGCAAGCTTCAACACATTTCAGAAAATGTAAAAGTATTGTCATACTTTTTGTCGTTGTTGTTGTTGTTTTGAGACAGTCTCACTCTGTCACCCAGGCTGGAGTGCAGTGGTGCAATCTTGGCTCACTGCAACCTCTGCCTCCTGGATTCAAGCAGTTCTCCTGCCTCAGCCTCCCGAGTAGCTGGGATTACAGGCGCGTGCCACCATGCCCACTAATTTTTGTATTTTTAGTAGAGATGGGGTTTCACCATGTTGGACAAGCTGGTCTCAAACTCCTGACCTCAAATGATCCTCCTGAGCCTCCCAAAGTGCTGGGATTACAGGTGTGAGCCACTGCGCCCAGCCGGTCATACATGTTTTATGAATGTCAGAGTTAGAAATCTGTTACAAAATAAATTTTAAAAGTTTTACACGTGGCCAGGCACAGTGACCCATGCCTGTAATCTCAACACTTTGTGAAGTCGAGGCAGGAGGATCACTTGAACCCAGGAGTTTGAGATCAGCCTGGGCAACAAAGTGAGACTGTCTCTACAAAAATTTTACAAATTAGTTGGGTCTGCTGGCATGCACCTGTAGTTCCAGCTGCTCGAGAGGCTGAGGCAGGAGGGTCACTTAAGCCCAGGAGGTCAAGGGTGCAGTGAGCCACAATGGCACCATTTCAGTCCAGCCTGGGCAACAGAGTGAAATCTCATCTCAAAAAAAAAAAAATCTTACACCCATCAGAATTGCTAAAATGAATAGTGACAGCCTCAAATCTTGGTGACAGAGAAACTGAATCACTCATATTGCTGGTCAGAATGTAAAGTGGTTTTACCTTCTTTCAAAATGAAATATGCAGCTCTGCAGTTACACTCTTGGGTATTTTTCCTAGAGAAATGAAAACCTCGCATAAAAACCCAGGCACAAATTTTAACAGCAGCTTTATTTGTGGTAGCCCAAATCTGCAGTTACCCAAATGTCCTTCATGTGAATAGTTAAACACAGTGTGAGGTGCTTGTACCATGGAATACCCTGGCAGTACAAGGAAGGAACTGTTGCTAGAACTACAACCTGTATGCTGAATGTAAAAAGCCAAAGGTTCATACTGTATGGTTCCATTTTTGAAATATTATATGTAATTTTGAAATGACAAAATTTTAGAAATGGAGGATGCTGCAGTAGTTGCCGGAGTTTGTGGGTCAGGGTTGCTGAGAGAGGTGGCAACATGAGGGATCCTTGTGGTATGGGAACTGTGTAGTGTATTGACTGGTGGTGACTGAACCCACCCAGGTGGTTAAATTGTCCAGAACTGAGTACACACACCCACACAAGTGAGCACACATCGTGGTTATGATACCTTGTAATTTTGTAGAATGTTACCATTGGAGGAAACGGCAAAGTATACAAAGGATCTCTCCGTGTTTCTTTAATACAGCTATATTGAGACATCATTCTCTTCAGCATACAATTCACCCATCTGAAGTGCTCCACTCGGTAGGTTTTAGTGTAACTCACAGAGTTGTGCAGCCATCATCACAATTTTAGAACATTTTTATGTTCACCCCAAAAGAAACCTTACCTCAGAAAATCTTGTAATTGACTGTTCATATAAGCAGTTTTCATAATAGCCACAAAGTAGAAGCAGCCCAAATGTTCATCAGCTGATGAATGGATAAATAAAACACAGGAAATCGGTGTTGTAGAATACTATTTGGCGATAAAAATAACACGGAAAAGCTGATACATGCCACGACATGGGCGAACTCGTAACTATTATGCTAAAGAAGCTAGTCACAAAACAGCACATGTTCAGTGCCATTCGTACAGAGTCCAGAAGTGGCCAGTCCATAGAGACAGAGAGGAGATTACTGATTTCCAGAGTCTAGGCTTCTTATCTATCCAAAAGACTCAGTTGTCCCTTTTCTTTTCTCTTTGGTTATTACAGAGTAACTCGTGATAGGAAATTCCAAAATCAACACAAATGCTACTTCGTATTCTATCTTTCTGTCTGTGGTAAATGGAACGTTCAGATTCCAGCGGCAGCCGTGGCAGTGGGGACTTTGCTGGCTGTTTTGTCCCTCGCTGTGCAGCCCTGCAGCGTTTCTGGAAACCTGCCTTGTGGACTGACTGGCAACTCTGGTCTTTTCTCAGCCCAGCTGCAGCTCCAGCAGGTGGCGCTGCAGCAGCAGCAGCAACAGCAGCAATTCCAGCAGCAGCAGCAGGCGGCGCTACAGCAGCAGCAGCAGCAGCAACAGCAGCAGTTCCAGGCTCAGCAGAGTGCCATGCAGCAGCAGTTCCAAGCAGTAGTGCAGCAGCAGCAGCAGCAGCTCCAGCAGCAACAGCAGCAGCAGCAGCATCTAATTAAATTACATCATCAAAATCAGCAACAGGTACCAGGTCCCCTGTTCCTGCTCTTGGCCTCCCTCCTGCAATGTGAGCCCTGGGCTGGCATCAGTCACGATGCTGGGTGCGGTGCACGGAGCCACCCGTGTCAAGGGTCCTCTTGACACATGTGTGCCTGCCTTTTTCCATGGGCGTCTCGAAAAGTCTGGGACAAGGCTGGGCCCAGTGGCTCATGCCTATAATCCCAGCACTTTGGGACACTGAGGCAGGCGGATCACCAGGTCAAGAGTTCGAGACGAGCCTGGCCAGCATGGTGAAACCCCGTCTAAAAATACCCCGTCTACTAAAAATACAAAAAATTAGCTGGACATGGTGGCGCACACCTATAATCCCAGCTATTCGGGAGGCTGAGTCAGGAGAATTGCTAGAACCTGGGAGGCGGAGGTTGCAGTGAGCCGAGATCGCACCACTGCACTCCAGCCTGGGTGACAGCAAGACTCTGTCTCAAAAAAAAAAAAAAAAAAAGGAAAGAAAAAAGAAAAGTCTGAGACAGGTAGGAAAAACAGGACCTGACTCACTAGGAAGGTTCTGTGATCGAGCCCTTCCATTTGTGCTCGGGGCATCTGGCGGCAGGCCTCCTGTGTGCTTCAGGGGCTGCGAGGGATTCAAACAAGAGTGAGCTGAAGCAAGAAGTGAGATGAACACTCTGAGGCTTGGGACTACTTGAGCCACTGTGGACCATTTTGGCTGAGGACACATGTGCCTCCTGTTTACCTCTCTGTCTTGGGTTCTGGGCTCAGTGTTAGTCAGCCTCCAGCTGGTGTTCCATGGGGTGATGGTGATGTCATGTTAGCAGCACTGCTTCTCAGAAGTTGTTCAGCTTCCCGTGGTTTCCATAGAGAGTCTAGACATGTTAAACATCTGCCCTCACAGCAGGTCTTGGTTGGGAGAGGAAAGCCCCAAAGGGCCCCCACCACCCTCTACTCCTTCAGGCCTCAGCTTGCTGGGCTTCTCTGGATCTTGGGGCCCCTGTCCCAGAGTTGACAGTGCATCTGCAGCCACAGTTTTCCTTCTCATGCTAACCAGCAGATCTTGACTGTCACCGTGAGGCTCATGCCACTGACCTGTAGGGGCAAAGCAAGCATCATTACAGAGGCTTCAGAAATCTGCAGTTGCCTCAGCTTTTATCCTGGCTTCCATGGAGCTATACCTGTTCATTGTCACCTTTTGCTGAAGCTTCTAGATATGTCCTCTGAACCATCCTAGTGGAATGGTAGACCAGAGCCCAGGCACACGCTTGGTGCCTCCTCAGTGTCAGGAAGGCAGCTGGTGTTGGCCTCGGGGGCCCAGAGTCTTTCTATGGGAGATGTGCCTCTCCCCGTGTGAGTGAGAGGTCAGCCTGTCAGCTCAGGAAGGCCTTTTTTTTTCTTTTCTTTTCTTTTTTTTTTTTTCGAGACTTTTTCTGAGTCTTACTGTGTCGCCCAGGCTGGAGTGCGGCGGCGTGATCTTAGCTCACTGCAACCTCTACTCCGCCGGTTCAAGTGATTCTCTTGCCTCAGCCTCCCAGGTAGCGCTCCTGCCTCAGCCTCCCAAGTAGTTGGGATTACAGGTGTGAGCCACCATGCCTGGCTAATTTTTGTATTTTTAGTAGAGACAGGGTTTCGCCGGGTTGTCCAGGCTGGTCTCGAGCTCCTGACCTCAGGTGATCTGCCCACCTCGGCCTCCCAAAGTGCTGGGATTATAGGCATGAGCCACTGCACCCAGCCAGGAAGGCCTTCTTGATGGCTCTGCAGATGGCCACCTGGGCTTCCTGGGGCCCAGAGTGTCACAGGGAGGAGCTGGTACCACAGTGGCAAATGAGCGATAACCGAGTGCTGCTTGGTCTGTCTCTAGATACAGCAGCAGCAGCAGCAGCTGCAGCGAATGGCACAGCTGCAGCTCCAGCAACAGCAACAGCAGCAGCAGCAGCAGCAGCAGCAACAGCAGCAGCAGCAGGCTTTGCAGGCCCAGCCGCCAATTCAGCAGCCACCGATGCAGCAGCCACAGCCTCCGCCCACCCAAGCTCTGCCCCAGCAGCTGCAGCAGATGCATCATCCACAGCACCACCAGCCGCCACCACAGCCCCAGCAGCCTCCTGTTGCTCAGAACCAACCATCACAACTCCCGCCACAGTCACAGACCCAGCCTTTGGTATCACAGGCACAAGCTCTCCCTGGACAAATGTTGTATACCCAACCACCACTGAAATTTGTGAGTACCTGTGGCCCGCAGTGGAGCACATGCAGCCCATGACTCTGTCAGTAGTTTCTAGACTCTTTGACTAGAGATAGCATGTCCTATTCTTCAAGTGCTGAGACTTCAGGCAGCCCCCGCCCCTTGCCAGCCCTGCTGATTCTAGCATGGCTCAGCAGGGAAGCATGTGTTTGGCGTTTTGTGTTCTGAGAGCTGCTTCTGCACCCTGCGCAGGGTGCTGGCTGCTGCTGCTGCTGGGGCACCAAGTCGCATTCCAAGCAGTGTGGCTGATTGCAGCAGTTCTGTGGGCCCTTTCAGGGTGTGAGCACTTCGACTAATGGGCACCACATGGAAGAATGTGCCAGCTCCATCAGTATCTGGTGGTTTGCCAACTGCTCAGAGTTAATGTTCTAAGCAAATATCTTTTTTGTTTTCTTTACACTCTGCCAAGTCTCAGGAGAACAAAGTTCATTACTGTATTTTCGAGGGGAGTATTAATATAAAATACTGTTATTCCCAGTCTCATTTTGTATCTCTGCACAAAGCCAGTCTACTCAGTGACATTGGCACAGAGGATAGAGTATGATCACCAGGATGGAGGTAGCTGCATCAAGGGGCCATTTGGATAACTCTGGCTCACTTGGTTTTTATGGCCTTTTCTATTTGTGATTCATGAGTGGAGTGGGGCCTGAGCCAAATGTAGGGGTGAACAAGAGGCCTCACAGGCAGGCTGGAAGTCCAGGAGAGTTGTGAGGAGCAGATACGGTCACTCATCTGTCACCTGGGAGTCAACACACTGCCTGACCCCTGGGACTGTGCAGAATGAAACCCTTGTGTGCTGCATGGTGGAATGTGCCCTGGCAGGGTTTGCCCTGGTGGCTTGGAGATGTCTAAGGAAGAGCCCCCTGTGTGATAGTACAGGCCCATCTCGTCCCTCTGGAGACCCCTCCATGCAGTGGCTCCACAGTTGCCCCTTTTGCCCAAGCTTGCCCCCCACCCCCACTTTTTTTTGTTTTGAAGACAGGGTCTCTCTATGTTGTCCAGGCTGGAGTGCACTGACGTGATCAGACCTCCCTCGCTCAAGCGATTCTCCCACCTCAGCCTCCCAAGTAGCTGGGACTACAGGCGTGCATCCCCACATCTAGCCAAATTTTTGTATATTTTGTAGAGATGGGGTTTGACCATGTTGCCCAGGCTAGTTTTGATCTCCTGGACTTAAGCGATCCGCTGGCCTCGGCCTCCCAGAATGCTGAGAATACAGACAGGAGCTTCTATGCCCTGCCCTCTGCTGGCCAGCTGACCCACCTTCAACAAATCAGGCTGAGTGAGGCTCTCATGGACCATCAGCATGCTTGGCCCAGAGGATGAGCAGGCTAGGCTGTAAGCTCTGCATTGGAAGCTGTCAGTGCTTGTGGTGATAGCTGGTGCTGAGGGATGTGTGGAGACATCCCAGTGGGAGGGCCACGCTGCCACTTGCCAGAATTGGATTTGAGCTAATGGGATCCTAGATGGCTAGTGAGGTGACATCACAGCACATGAAGTCATGAAAGTCCCATTCCTCATCTCAAGAAAGGCTCCATTTCCTAAGCTCCCGCAGGAGGACTGGGTTCTGCTCTCTGACCCAGGTGGCTCCAAATCACATTCTCTCTTTCTCCCTCAAGGTCCGAGCTCCGATGGTGGTGCAGCAGCCCCCCGTGCAGCCCCAGGTGCAGCAGCAGACGGCAGTACAGACAGCTCAGGCTGCCCAGATGGTGGCTCCCGGAGTCCAGGTGAGGGCCTGGGGGTGGAGGGCTCCATAGTCACCAGCAGGTGCATGGTCACCTGCACATGGAGTGCTACAGTGAGGATTCTGGTTGGATTAGGGGCTGGGGGCTAAGTTGGTAAAGCAGTTGCTTCTCTCCCCCTTGCACTCTGCAAGACACCCCTGGAGTCCTTGGGGTGGGCAGCTCTGCTTGGTTATGTCTAGGACCCACCAGTCTCATAGTGCGTGTCGTTTCCAGCTTTGCTTGGGCATCCTTCATCATCCCTCTTCCTTGCCACTCTGAGTGACTCAGGGAACATGTATCAGAGAGTAGAAGGCTGCAGTTTTGTCCTCACCTCTCACGTTCCATTTGAGAGTCTGAGTACAGAGCTGACCAGGGTGGAGGGCAGCTTTCTAGACACTCAGAAGCAGATGGGAGCCACATGCAGCAGGAGTGAGGGAGAGGGCATCCTGGTGCTCACCTGCACTCGGGGACTCTGGTGCTGTGTGGTGAGAAGCGTGCCGCTCCCATGTTGCTGAGCTTGCTGGTGTGTCACATGTGTGGAACATGTGTGTGTCTCTATGTGTCACGTGTCAATGGAATGCAGATGGCCTCACCTGGCCTCCTAGCGTCCTGGGATTGGAGTCCCAGGGTTTCTGTACCTTCTCCTATAGCCCCTCCTCTCCTTACTGCCACTGAGGTGGGGAGACGTACGGTCTGGGGCTTCAGTTTTTCCGCTTTCCACATGATGGTGGAAACACTGTTGGTCCTGACTCGGAGGGGGTGTTGCCTTTAGAAAGAGTCAGAATGTGCTAGTTGATGTGATAAGACTGTGGCTGGGTTCCAGCCCACAGCTGGCAGTGCGCCTGCACTTTGCTGTTGTCTTAAGGGTGGCAGGCTTCATCTCACACCTGGGGGGTGCTCAGTAATGTCCTTCCTGGTGCCTGCTACCTCTTTTAAGTCCCTGGGAAGCTGTCTGAGGAGGGAATCTGAGGTGTTTAGCTGCAGCTGAGGTTAGCATCCTACCTTGGCATGGCACCAAATGACTTGGGGCCAGGGTCCCCATGTCACATTCTTACTTAGGTGGAGCCCTGTATGAAACATACCACAGAACTCACGTTTACTTACAACTGGGGGAGGCTGACCACTTCGTGTGACAAAGTTGGAGGTCTCTGCCACCTCCCTGTGTGTCTCGGCATGTCCTCAGGCCTCCGGTGGGGCTCCCTTGTCCTGGGCTCATACAGCGGAGGGATGTGGTGTGTTCACAGTCAGCTTAGTGGTGGCACATAGTGACCGCCCAGCCAGTGGAAGCTGCTGCCTTTGCCTCTTTGGACCGTCGCTCCTCTGTTCAGGACCTTACTTCATGGAAACTTTTGAGATGGAGTCTCTATCGCCAGGCTGGAGTACAGTGGCACGATCTTGGCTCACTGCAACCTCTGCCTCCCGGGTTCAAGTGTGCAGTGAGACTGCAGAGCGGACACTTCCCTTGAGCTTAGAAAGCCTAACGAAATACGTACCAGCTGGGCGCTGCACCACGCTGAAGAACATGGGCCCCTGTTTCCATGGCTCGTTCACTTCCAAATACACCAAGAAATGGAAAGAAAAGGAAAGTTCCGGCTTGGCACAGTGGCTCATGTGCCTGTAATCCCGCAACCTTTGGGAAGGCGAGGCATGGTGGATCACTTGAAGTCAGGCAGCTTAGGACCAGCCTGGCCCCATTCTCTACTAAAATACAAAAAAATAAAATAAAATAAAATAAAATAAATTGAGTTCTGGGCATTGTTGTGCCGTCAGTTGCCTTTAGTCCAGCTATTCTTGGGAGCAAACAGCTGAACCAGATTGAATTGTTTTCTGGAGGGGTCTGTATGTTTAGCTAAGATTGCCAACCATTGGTATCTCCGCTTCTTCTAAGCCCTAGGTGACAGAGCAAGACTTTGTCCAAAAAAAAAAAAAAAAGGAAGGAGGGAGGAGGGAGGGAGGGAGGGAAGGGAGGGAGGGCAAGGAGTTCTAGGCTTGGGGAGTGATGCTCATGGGCTGTAAATGCCCAGACTTTGGAGGCTGAAAAGGCGGGTGAAATCACTTGAGGTCAGGAGTTCAAAAACAAAGCCTGGCCAACGTGGTGAACGCCCTATTGCTACTAAAAATAACAAAAATTAGCCAGGGTGGTCGGTGGTGGTGTGTCTGTAGTCCAGCTTACACTTGGGAGGTCTGAGGCACAAGAATCGAGCCTGAAACCAAAACCAGGAGGCCAGCAGGCTTTGCAGTGAGCCGAGACGTTCGCGCAAATCACCAGCCCGGATGACAGAGTGACAGACTCTATCCAAAAAAAAAAAAAAAAAGAAAAAGAAAAAAGG